TAAAACAAGCGAAAGGCCTGTCGTTCTTCTTTATTGTGGATACTCTGTTCACTTGTGTCGCAAATGGTCTAACTGCCCGGTATGCGTCGACCTCTTGTGCTGCGTATCGGATGAAACAGTCGTTGACTATTCTCTGACACAGATGCTCACACAATTTCACTAGCTATTTTGGCCCACCAGTTTTGGTGATCTTCCTCAAGGCTTCTCCTGGGTTGACGTTGCAGGCACCGTCGGTCCCTATGCTGATCTTGGCAGATTGGAACCTTTCGCTTTTGCTCCATCAGGATTACTGACTCCTGAGAGATCCAATGTCTTCGGCGAACTTCGGGCTTGGTCCCATAAGCAAAGTCCACTTCTAAATGCATCGCAAATCTAATTTGATCATACTGCTGGTCTACTCCACTCTGTCACGGTTCTTCTAGCTCCTGTTACAGCCCCTCATGACGTGCGCTGACAAATGGATCACGCAGACGATTACGAGCTAACTGAGGAGGCTATTTCTGCCGACGACCGATGAGTCGAAGAGTGAAATGCAACGGAACTAGTGCATGATCCGACTCGACGCAGATGGTCCAATAGAATCTGCAATTTTGTACTGAAGCACGCCTACGGTAATATAACATCTGAGATGCTGCTCAACCAAATGAGTTCGGCGAGTTTATCGTAAAATTCGTCTTTTTGTGAAATGGGACTGCAGTTGGTCGGTGCATATGCGTAAGTTATGAACAAACACCTTTTGGTGTTGCTGCCCTTCCAAACACTAACTGAACCCTGGAGCCTCATCACGCACAAACGACTATTGACGGGTATCCAATCTCTTAGAGGCTTCAGCTTTATCGTTTAGTACGATTCCTACACCATGCTGACCCGATGTACGGAGGAAATACCTCGAGGACAGACCTGGCGCACTCAGTTGGCTTATTATACTAGGACCCTGAATATATATATATATATATATATATATATATAATAAGTTTCTGAAAACTTCATTGTACGCGCAAGACATGTTGATCCACCTTCATCAAGGTCCTCCCGTCAAAAGCCCTCAGATTGAGAGGTTAACGAGGCTTCAGAATCTGCACTCTATTTACAGGAAAACTATTTACAATTCTATTTGACAACGACTTTTGGCGAGTATCTCCCAGGTTGGTTGATAGGATGTTACGGATCGACAGAAGGCCCAAAGAGAGGGTTGGGTATAGAAGACGGTTAAACAAAAGTTGAGATTTCTGAGCAGTAGCTCATTTAATATTACCCACCCCGCTCGATGCAATGATTATCTTGCGGGACGATCGATACAATATGAGATTATTTTTAGTTTGTGTTCATTATTCATTCATTATTCGTGTTATCTACTGTTATCTATTGTAACTCCAACCTTTTCACCCCGTTCCGTATCTCAATCAAGTCATCCCGTTATTGTGATTATTGTTGTGGTGTTGGCACTATGCTTATCCAGCAGCCGGTTATAAATATATACTAAGTGGCTAGTCCTCGATAGAGGTTCGCTCCAGACTGAAAGTTAATGAAAGAAGTTTGCTGGCAATCAGGAGGAAAAAAGTTAATTATTAAAAAGTAATTGAAAGAAGGGAATCGAAGTTTCAGCCACATGGTCTGTAACTCGCAGTTGGTAGGGGAACAGAGTATAAGCAATTAAATGTTTGATGAATGTACAATCCAGCTTTGGGGATGAATAAGTTGTGGGGGAATAATTGGGAGACTGAATATGGGTACTGTCTGTAGTAGAACGAAGTCGGGCTTCAAATACAAATAGAGCAAGAGGGGAAGTAAAATGAATAAATTGATGTACAGAATCCATATTGCGGCGATTATCGGAAAATATCGACGAAAGCCAAGGCTATTGTGTACTGAGATAGTAATTATGTGAACTGAACTATACTATCGACTAGTTTTATGCAACTTATCATTTTGAATGTATAAATTGTGATTTATCCTCAACAAACTTCAAAATTGTTCTCCATTATCCATGATTTTTTTCTTAAAACCATAAATGATATGCGTATTTCACCTACTTATCTGAAGAATGGAGTAAGTGGCGCTTTGATGTCCTGCTCGTTAATGCTGCTGTGTCTTTGTGACTAACCGCTGATAGAAATGATCCCATCCCTGTTTAATGTTTCACTTTCTCTTTTGCTCTTGTGTTTTGTCGTAGTTGTGAGAGAATCGTGTCTGACAGGTCTTGCACCAAATAATTATAAGTGGTTAGACTTTGCTTATCGCAATACCGACTTGGATTCACTTTCGTCTCTATCGTGATTCGTCGCGATCCGTATTTGCGAAACGTTGCAGCGATTTGAATTTTTTTCACAAGGGTCTGCTAATGGGTTTCATGAGGTTATAATGAACTAAACCTTACTTCACCCGTTTTTCAAAGGGTTATTTAATTTGTCGACGGCGTGTATGCGAGTTCTTGTTAAGTATCAGCACTTGTTATCCAGAAGAAAATTAGCACTGGGTTTTGCTGAGTCAAGGGTCACCATAGGTTATTTTCTCAATAACTACCTTAATTAAAGGTTATGCACACCTATTGGTACATGCTTTTGTACACGCATACTTTTACCAACTGAATATCGGGTAGTCAGTAAACCAACTTGGGACGCCGTTTGAGTCCTTATTTGTATTGCGCTATTTCAGTGTTATAGAAGCCCCAATTCTCGGTCCGGTAGTCGTGATCGGAGTGTGACACCGCCTCACTGGCGTCAGGCCAGCCAGAACACACAACGAATGGACAATGATGGTTGGCGTGCTTGGCACGAGCAGCGAGCTTTTCAGCGTATGAATATGCCACGGTATGCTTTACTTAAACTTTTCGTTAATCCTAGGGAAATAATCGGGCCTTAACTGTCGTCCTTTTGACTTCATGCAAGCAGTGATACAACCAACATTTGAATATTTTCTGTTTGTACTCATTGGATCCCGTATTCTGAGATGATATAGGATTGATTTCCCCCTCTGCTATACAGGAAAGATGATAATACGGATTTAAAGTGATGTTCCTGTACGTAATCACCATTTGTCTATGAGCTTGTTTTTATTTTCAAAGTGGTCGCTTCTGAATCTCATTATTATGCTGATTTTTTACCTCTTCCCTAATCGATATCACATTTAATCTCAACTGTTTATTTTAAATGCATCGATTTCCATTAATGGTCGAAGTTTTACGCTCTCATAGAATAAATTTTGGGCCTTGGTTCATGTTTTGCGTATATAGTTAATTCGTTCTTTACCTTTGCTGTTGAGATCGGACGGTGAAATCAATCCATTTAGTCCCGATGTTTTTTGTAAATTAATTATACTTCTCTTAGAAATAACTAATTTTTGTTGAATGATATAAGTGTTGATGCTTGATGAATAACGAAAATACAATCATTATTTCGGAAATGAACCGCAACCAATCGAAGACAGAGAAATTACCGATTGGAAAGAAATTTGACAAGTGTTGATTATTCACAAACAGACTTGATACGTGATGCGCACTAGACGAACTGCACGTAGGGCGGTAACCTGTTCATCCTCGTCCGTTCTTTGCATTATTCAACCTATTTGTCGTTGAGTTCGCCAGTTTTGAGATGCATACTAGGGATATGCGGTTCTTTGCCAGCTGTTGATCCCGAAACTCATCTCATTATTTATTTTCGGAAATCATCGAACCATTGATAATTTTCAGTTCGGGTGTTTCCCATTGCTACCTATCAGCTCACTGAGACCCAAACATCAAACGACATAAGTCTCCACCACTGTGTATATTAAACTCTGCGAGATAAGCTAATTTTTCTACTGCAAAATGCCCAATATCTTTCCACTAGACCGATGTCCATGGAGATTTCCCCTTTTACTGTAGTTCGCAGTGTAATAAAAAATATAGTTTTTACAATAAATCCATGGAATAAGGAACACCAACAACGTGGGTCTGTTCCGACGCATAAAACACGCAAGAACACAAAAACTCCAATTGTCGCTTTGTACCTTCAAAACGCACATTATAAAGCCATGTGATCGAGAGGTGACTACCGTTAACTGCTTTTACTGACCAGGAAATTACGTGACAAATGGTAGAATTGCTAACCATTCGCCTATCCAAAAGTTGAACAGCGTTCGCTGTGTTGCAACACTTAGGGTCCCAACGGACCCTTTCGCTGAAGTTATGGAATCGCGTTTTTTTTACCACAAGCCGTAAAACTTCGATTTTGCACGTGAAGAATATTCAACCATCAGTAGGCTAAACTGAAGAGGCCTACCGTTAGACGGTATACTCTGTTTGTTGGATGTAATGGTTCACTTGGGTTCTCCCCCACCGAGAGAGGACGCACGTCTCACCCATCGTGCACATTCCTGTCTCCTTTGCACATTAAGTTTGGTTGATGCCAGCGATTTTCGCTTCACTGTATTTCGCTGTGCACTGATGGTAACGATGTCTTCGACCGAAATCTTCGGTGCCCATGGAGGTTTGGTACCGAGCATGCCTGCAGTTCATCGCCAAGTATCTCACAAAATTTACGATTGTTTCCTTGTTTTGTTAGCTCCTGATTAACGGCGTGAGTTGTAGTAGATTTTTCGTGATTTTCTATGCAAACTCAGGATACAGTTGATTCTCAGATCACCACAAATAAACGAGGATTATATTGCTGCAGTCTTGTTCAGGTTTATTGTTCACTTTCAATAGATTGATGCCCATCATTTCAGTTAACTTCGGACAATAACCTTTTTGGATGAGCCTAAGTATTTTTTTACATGTATGCATCGTCCTCTGGTCATCTACCTATTTTACATGAATACGAATATCCAAATCTCATTGACCGTTGCTCTTTGCCTGTTGTCTGGTTCTCGAAACGATCCAGGGACGACGAACCGCGCTCGCCTCGGCTAAGTCCGTCCAAGGCTGATCGTCGACTGGATTCTTCACCTTCAGCTGCTGCAGCATCCGCACGAAACCGCAGTCCTAGCGAGTCTCCGTCTAGACGTCAGAGTAGCGTCACAGAGCCACGAGACGTGAGTCGTGGATTTGGTGGTCGTAATCAACCATCACCTAACCTCAGACATCAAGATACACGTTTACCCAGTCCTACATTAAAATCTCGGTACGTTGCTCCTGCGAGCGATATTTCAAATGCAGTTTTATAATAGCCATCTTCTGGCATACTACTTTCTCATAGGTCGAGGTTTCCTTCTTGGTTATCGCGTGCGTGTGGTT